GTTTGTGGTGGTTGAGATGATGAAGGTTGTGAGAGGGCGGGCGGAACTTGATGGTGGTGGTGGAGGCGGCGGCGGCGGCGGTGGTGATGGTGTTGGTGTTTGTGAAGACGTCTGTGAGAGCGTTGGTGTGTTCTGCCTTATTGGTGCCGATGATGATGAGGATGAGGCTCTAGCAGGCAATGATGATGATGGCGTCGCTTTTATTGAGGGTGTTGGTGTTGTTTGTGCCCTCGTTGCTTCGCTCAGTGTGTTTGGGGTTCCTGTTCCCACTCCCGTTTGCCCTCCCAGACTCGTGGGAGGCGTTTTGGCGTCAGGTTGGTTATCGGCCATGATGAAGAAGTGAGATGGTTTAGTCGTGAGAGTAAATGATTATCGCTATTCGTGCTTTGTGGTATATGTTTTGGTACGTAAAGGCCGTTTGAATATGTTCGTTGCGTCGTAGTAGATTATGTTCAGTATGAGTTCGGGGCCTTTTGGTGGTGGGGGAATTCCTCCGAATAACCTCGTAACCAACTCGAGTGTGGTGAGGTATGATGAAATCCTGATCTCGAAGCAGGTTCAATGTCCCAATGACGACCAGGTAGTGTCAGGTGACGGCGTGAGGTGGGTGGTATTTTCCGATGTAAGTCGATCCAGCGGCTCAACAATCGCCCTCTCTCTATTCCTCTTGTTCGTCTTCTTGATTTTTCGTGCCAAGCCTCGGAAGCTGTCAACGTCAAGGGCAGTTCAAACAAGACAAATTAAACACTCAATAAACATCATACAATGTCAGTCCCAAAATAAATAAAAAAGAGACCAAGGCACTTGCCGTCCCAGAAAAAGAGGGCTGGGGGGGAACAGGAATCTTTAAACAAAGATGTGCCGGTGGCCACGTACCCCCTCCCTCTTACACTCTTCAGCGTATATTGACAGAGAGTACATGACATGGTGCCATGTATGTGCATTGTTTAGGTACCCCATCCATTCCTCGTCTCTCCCTCGGTCCGTCGACCGTCGTTCACATCAAATTCTCTGACGGTTTGAACACCCCTCCCCCCCATCATCCGAGAAACCTTACTGTGAGAGTTTTGGCTGACGTGACGCAGAGTCGGGACAGTGAGAGAGGGAGCAACTCACACTCACTCTTCCTCTCTTCCTCTGTGCGTATGAGCGTGTGTCAATGTCTCAATGAGGAAGATGAATGTACCAGGGATCTCTAGGGGTCGCAACCGTCTCACAATGGTATTGATATTGATCCCTGCACGCCAGTTGGAGGCTCAAAGCGCGGCTCCGATGCACAGTCTTCTGCAGCACTAGACTCAATATGTCTACGTACGCAGTACTTGCTTCTTAACTGACAGTAAGCGTGTCAAGTCCCGTCCCGCAAGACAACTACTGTATAGTGGGAACAACTAGCCCCCAAGAGCCCAAGAGGGGCACGGAATAATGTGGCCTTCATTAGTCACGTCTTAGTCTCACTCTTATTCCCTCCCCCCTCCCGCAGAGTCCCAGGGATCTAAAGACTGAAGCCCCAATGCTTGCATGTTGGCAGGGTTGCTGCCAGCCCGTTTCAGACGTGGAGTGTTTGAGTTGATCTTCTTCAGACCAATGAAACCCTCAATCCTTCCTTCGTCCCACCTTTTCTCCCGCCCTTCCGGCCGCCAAACCACCCCCTCTCCAGGTTCATCCCTCACGACCCGCCAATGTCTCTTTCAAAGTTCCATCAGCCCTTTCTCTCTGTGTCTTGAGGCTCTCAGTCTCTCGGTCCACTGCACGTCTCTAGACAATGGAACAGTTCGATCGGGAGCCTGGAGGGCCCCCAATTGTGTCTTGGCCCCAAGTGGAGAGCCCTAACTAAACTACTGGCGTCGCATTCAAATCCGAACATTGCAACGCAAAAGAGTCTATCGAACATATCCGTTCTCAATAAGGTAATCAGGGTTATCCGTATTGTCTCTCATTCCCCCAAAGGAGCCACCAGAAACCGGACTAAGTTACTAACGTTAATAATCCCTGACGACAACCGGGGGGAGAGGAAGAGCCTCCTCGTCCTCATCTGCTCTTCGCATCACCCACCGCTGCCCGACCTGACGTCGGAACACCCCCGTACACGGCGTCACCTGTCAAACTCGCCAACAGGCAAACTTCGGAAACTTGCATGATCCCCGCGTCGCAACCCATACCGACTCGTCTGTACTCCGTTACCACCCCGGCGATCGTACACTTTTCCCCCTCGGCAGGACTGCCAGACTGGTCACCTCCTCAACCCCAATCCAGCCATCTCTTACACCGACACGCCGTCAAGCGCGGGCAATCAGGGAGACCGTAGACAGGGGGGGAGGTTCAGGGCTTTGCACGCTTTGCACGATCTCCGTTCGGTAACCGGCCACGGAAGTTTTCTTTCTTCTCTCTGCAGGCTGCACTGGCAATCAGGCAAGACTCTTGCTACGGAGTACTCTGTTGCTATCCATAGAAATCTCCACATCCTTATTATGCCCTACCAGGCGACAAAAAGAAACAGGGTTATCTTCAGCCTCCCCCAATGCGTTCGGTTGACTCGGCACGCTCCCCTGGTGCAGCTGGATTCTGCATAGAGAAAGAGGCCCGTCGTCTCCCCTACCCTCTTCGGCAGTCAAGACTTTCTAAAACGCAGCTGTCAAAACAATCCCGCGCCGGGGGTGTGCAAGGTAGGAGAAAGAAAGAAAAGGCAAGGCACCTTTCGGTCGCCAACCGAGAATCTTACGACACCCAAGGCATGCCCTCTCGTTCGGGCGGTGGGCGACCCGGATCCGAGGTAGGGCTCATTCCGCTAGTCAAAGTTGAAAATTCCTCTCCTTTCCTTGATCACGCCCATCCCGCCCAGGAGGAGGGCAGACACGTCATGTGGTAGCACTCCGTCCCATCTTTCTGGTGGTGCACTCTCCTAGACTCTCACTCGGTGGATGGGACGCCAATGTCAGAGATATACTGAACGGTAATAGTGCGACTATAGTGATCGAAGGTTGCACCGTCGATCGTCTCTTCTTGGTAGCCTCGCACTTCCTCGGTACCATCCACGTGAAGAAGCTACGTGGGATATCTAGAGCATAACGCGGTAAGAATACCTATTCTAGCATGGCGCCGACATCATCGCGAGTCTCGACCAAGTTTTTTTCTCAACATTTGAAAAATCAAGAAAAGGATATGCCGAGGTCCAGGAGCCTGCTTTATGGTTCGTCTTTGCTTTTTGACGTTTCGAACGTATTCGGGTTTTTCATGTGCAGGACTACAGGTGCGTTCTCCTGCAGTTAGTTGATGCCGCGAGAGGACAACGTCAAAGCGGCGCAGGTTGGGAAACAAACGACGTACGAATCCGAACCCGCTCCACGTTTTATCGTGTCGGTATCTGTGTAAATGCTACTTCACACTTGAACGCTGCAAATAATGTCGAACCGTAAGGCAGAGCATTTTGGGACTTCGTTAATCATGTCAAAATCAAGCGAGCTTTGCGAAAATTGCGACTTTGTTCGATGATGCCATTGAAAACACCAAACAAAAATCTCGAGCTGTGCGGTGGCGGAGCAAGGCGAGAAACACCAAAAGTGACCCGTGTGTACCCCTTCAAGGAACACTGTCAAGGAATAACAATTAATTCCCGTAGTAAGCCAAGGTCCGGTTGGTGCCATGGTTCACTGGCCCGCGATACCTTTCAGATGCTTCGGTACAATGCTGGAGATCTGTTTATCTCGCCCTTCTTCGTTCCCCATCAACTTGACTTACACGGAATTAATCAACTGAATCTTATCACTGCGCAACTCCCGATCAGAAGAAGACGGGAAGGAGACCCACAACTCCATAGTCCCACAGCTATATCTTCCGAAAGCTAGCTGACTGAGAGGATGCCGAGTTGATTACCACGTAAGGATACGGATATGCTTATCAGTCGCACCATCTCCTCAGCCAGCCTCAGTTGGGCGGCAATCATCCATCTTTCCGTCATCACTCAAACTGCCGCCTGTGGCAATATAGAGACTTGAAAATGTAGAATGCCGTCATCTCCTAAACTCGAAACAACTGAACTCTTCAGCTCCCCCGTAAATAGAATGAACAGCACTACGGAAAGAGGAAACAAGAAACACCCATCAAAGAAAGGCCACCCCCGGCGGCCATGACGCCACCGGCCCCCGCCGACTCCCCGTTCAACCCCACAATCACCGCACCCGCGACCGAAGACTGCGGCGAACCACCGGCCAAGCGGAGAAAGACGCAGGCTTGTTCACAAGTGTCGTCGGCGAAAGATACGTTGTTATTTTATTCTTATTTCTCCTTCTTTTTTTTTCCCTTTTCCTTCTGGGTTTTCACTTCACTGTGTGTAAGAGCCAGAGACATCCATTCTCTGGTACCCTAAAACAGCACTGTCACCAATATTGAAACAACCACTCCTTGCCCAAGTTGGGTTGACCCTTTGACCAAGATCATCACAACTTCAAACCCCACCATTCCCAAAAGAAGAGGAAACCTGGACAAGTGCAAAAAGGGGAAGGGGCTGACAATCTTTGTTTTTTTTCCCCCTCGACCAGCAAAAATGCGATGATCAGAGGCCCTGCGCCAACTGCGCCAGGTCGGGAGAGCAATGCAACGAGGCGGTGCTCCCGTCGTCCTATCAAACCCGGCCCCCGGGCCCGGGTTCCCTCCGCTGTAAAGTTTCTCTCCTTCTCCCCTGCTCTTCCCCAGTTGCGAAGGAGGAAACATCTAGTTTCACGTTGTTGGCTGGTTCATAGACAGTAGTTTGCGACGGTTGATCTCTCTCTCTTCGCCGATCTAGATCTGCTCGCAACCCTCCTGGTCCAAACTTGTAATGTTATAGTGATGCTGCGGTATCACCTCCCCTTCTAGGAGTTCAGATCATCATCTTCTTCACCATCCCGCGACGCACACACCCCTAGCAAGGCTGGGCGACATCGCGTTGTTGGGGGAGCGCATATCGCGTCTCGAAGAGACCGACGCTCGTCTTCAGGTGGTCGTCGATATTCGGAACAATCATGTCCAACACAGCTATGCGCAAGAGCCGTCGCTACCATCATCGTTGTCTCGCGCGCATGAAGCGCCTCATACACATCACCACGCAGACAAATACTATCACCACCGACGCAGAGTCTCATTCGCATCAGGGCCGGGAATCGGACCAGAAGCTTCTCTCTCTCAAAGAGCTCGCCCGCCATCGGCCTCTTGGCTACCTTTGCTCGCTCAGAGGAAGACAACCCACCACCACAAACACTACCTAATCCATCAGTCCACGATGGCGGCAACACAGCACGTAGACCCGACCAGGAGATCCCCCTCGACACGGCAACAGAAACCTCCCTCTTCGACGAGACAAAGTCCACTGCCGCTACCCCTTCCTCCGCCTCGACGACTTCCGCAACCCAGCAAGCTGGCCGAGAGAAGCATGGGCATCCTACCTCACTAACATGATCTTCTCCATAGGCCTCCTCCTCGAGAAAACCTTCCCGTCATCATGTCCATCAGGAAAGCCTTTCTCCTAGACAAAAATCACATGATTCAGCCCATGACGCCTCACTTCTTCCAGTCGAGCCTGATGGATCTCGAGGCGGAGAGATTCGATCTTGCTGCGCTCAGGTTTCCGGGCGACTTTGATCTGCTAGACGCTTGAAGTATAAGTCAAAGTATCTTGCGTAGAACTGAACCAAGCGCGTTATCATGGTGAGAGTCGGACTTGAGTAGAGAGCCGACCTGAGAAGGCGTCAAGGAGGGGCATGACATGTTGGCCAAGACTGACGTCCAAGTTGCTGAGTAACTAACGCCGAAAGCCATGGATTCTGACTCGGGGGCAAGCACCACAAACTCAATTGAGTGCTTTCCCAAAGAAAGCTCGTTATCGGCTTTTAGCCAATCCGGTGGGGAACAGCTGCCAAAGCGAAGCAAATAAACTCGCGGGACGTACGTCACTGACGCCCCGGTGACGTGACCCCGTCCCCGAAAATGCTCATCCGCGGGGTCCTTCTTTCCGCAACAAAACATGTACCCATTCCCATGAAAGGTAAGGTAAAGTACGGATATACGTACAATCAAGTAGAGATTCACCTCGGCCAGTCCGCCCGCATCCGAATCAAGTCATCCGCGGCCCTTAACGCCGTGCTTTTGATGGGGCCGAGCGGGGAAGCCATCCAGGTTGATTTCAAAGCCCCGCGGTCTCGTCTTCCGTACACCTAATGTGACCACTATTTGAATCGACTGTCTGCCTCTCCTTCACACGGGCCTCTATACCTCTGAATTGGCATCATATCACATCACACTGCAAGACATCACGACGTATCTTGCCAGACACACAATCCTACGCATTCTCTAGATAATTCAACAGTTACAAAAAACAGCCCAACATGAGCAAACACGTCCTCATCCTCGGCGGCCACGGCAAAGTCTCCCAGCACCTAACCCCAATCCTCCTCAAAAAGTCCTGGACCGTAACCTCCATAATCCGCACTCAAGACCAAGTCCCCGCCATTGAAAAACTGGGCGCCGGCAAGTCAAGCGGCAAACTCAACGTCCTCGTCCGCAGCATCGAAGACGTAACCTCCCAACAAAAAGCCCAAGCAATCCTAGACGAAGTCAAACCAGACACAATCTTCTGGTCCGCCGGCGCAGGCGGCAAAGGCGACCCCTCTCGCACCTTCACAATCGACCGCGACGCCGCCATCCACTTCATCAACGCCGCCGTCGCCACCCCGTCCATCAAGAAATTCATCCTCGTCTCCTACCTGAGCTCCCGCAAGACGAAACCCACCTGGTGGTCCGATAAAGCCTGGCAAGACGCACTCGACGGGAACAAGAAGCTCTACAACTACTCTCTCGCCAAGATCGCCGCTGATGAGGCCCTCTGGCAAGAATCGAAAAAGAGGACAGATGGCTTTGCTGGTATTAGTCTGAGACCCGGTCTGCTGACCGAGGAACCGGCCGGCAAGATTGAGTTTGGAAAGACAAAGGAGGCGAAGGGCACCTCCAGCCGACAGACCGTCGCCGAGGTCGCCGCGCTTATTGCGGAGAATGACAGCTTCACGACATCGTGGGTAGACTTGCTGGATGGCGACGAAGACCCCAAGACAGCCGTCGACAGAGTTGCAAAGGAAAAGGTGGACGTCGCTGTGGGCGAGGAATTCTACAAGGCTTAAAAATCCATACCACGCTTTGGGAATTTTTTCATTAATAGTACTATCATAATACAGCGAATCTCGTTTCTCGTCATGTCATCAGAGCAATGTGCTTGAGCTCCCTATTACGATTTGTTAGCATCAGTCAGAAAACCCATCCAAGAGATCAGATGACTTACTCTTGCACCTGCTGTCCCACCTTCATGGGCGCATACGTAACCTCCTCGCCCTCGTCCCTACCCAGGTTGAATTGCTCAGCCCTAACCTTTTGTGCCTGCTCCGACAGCTGAGGGATAGGAGTGAGATCGTGGTCCGATGACAAGTGCCAGAAGAACGTGGACGAGATGCGGACGAGCGGGCGATCGGGGAGCTCGGCTTTGCGGCGCTCGATCACGGCCAGTGTCTTTTCATTCACCACGACCTCGTGGAAGCCTGCCTTGATGAGCCCGCCCGTCAAGTGCTCCAACTGCTTTCCGGCTTGGACGAGCAAGTAGTTGCCCTCAGGAATCTTGACGGCAATCTTCTTTCCCGTGTTGCGCGCCCAGATGTGCAGGCCTGGATACCGAGAACGCCCGTGAATGGTCAGGAAGTTCAGGTCTGTGTGGAAACCGGCGAGAATGGTGTCCTGCTTGCCGTATTTGACCAAGTCAGAAGCCGTTGGTGCGAGAAGGTGAGGCCCGTACTTGCCAGCAGAGCTGAAAGCATCGGCAGGGAGACCCAAACCGACCGCCGCCATCTCTGCCAGGCCCGTAACGGCTTGCTTCATTGAGGTTCCCCACTTGTCCATGGCAGGAGGCCAACGCTCACGGATGTGCGGAGCTTCGGGGACAACATTGGGGGCGTTGAGCCCGGGGAACTCGGTCTCGTACGGGGGGTTCTCAGCCATGCGCCAGAAGAAACGGCACTTTGGGTCGGGGTCGTGTGCTGTGATATCGAGAGGGCGCTCGGTTTCCGCCAGGCGCTCGATGACCTTCAGGCAGGGCTCGTCTACTGCACATTTGGGCTTTTCTGTATCCTCAAGAGTGACACCGATTTGGTAGCTTAGCTCCGGACGCTCATCCTTCTTGAGCTCTTCAGTCGGCTGGGCAAAGTAGTCCTCAAGCAAGTCGAGGAAAGTAGTGTTGTCTGATTCGGCGACTCGGGAGTCGTGCAGCACGAGCGCGCCATAGGTGATGAGGGCAGTCGCGGCCTTTTGGCACTCATCGCGGACTGCAGCGGAGTCGCGGGGCTCGTTGAGAAAAACGTCGAGATCGATTATGGGGAGATCCATGGGGAGGTCCTGTGCGGCGGCCATCGCGGGCAAGTGGATGCGCGGGGTCTTGTGAAGTTGAAAACTTGGGAATCGCTTCGTTGATGATTTGAGAAGCCGACTGTGGCTGGGATATAATAAGCAAACAATATGTATCGCTGATGACTGCGGCCAGAATTCGCAAACGAGGAGCGGAAATCGCTGGGTTTTGTCTTGTGTCGCTATGCATGTGAGATGGTCGAGATGCGCGCGTGGTGGGGGGTTCAGATGGCTCAAATGGTCGCATGGCCCACCCGGGCGCCTGACCGGAACAGGCAGCTCACTGCCGACCCAGACCGTTAAAGATGGTTCCTGCGCTATGGTGTCGAGCACATCGTGAATGCCAACCAATCCCGTCCTTTCATCGGGGCTCTCCGGGTCGTGTCTACGGAGGCCCATCCGGCGCACCGAGACCCCTACTCCATGCTGATTTCCTTTCAGGCTGCTACCATTGGAGGATCTCTCCCGTTGAAAGTATTTGGTTGCAGATCTGGAAGACTCGATGGGCTGACTCGGGGTAGCGTGGAGTGCGGAGAATCTGAACCAGTTTTCAATGTCCGTTGATTTCCGCCGGCCATCGCCGGTCCACGCCGATAACCACTGGTCAGCAGCGTCGCTGCTCTTATGCCTGGAATTATACAATTTGATTCGAACATTAACCCAGATCTTGCGTCTCTTGGTTATTGAACAGCCGAACAATCTGTCCCCGGAGCAGTCCGGTTAGTTGTGCGAGTCAAATAATGAGACCACGCTCAGTCTTCCTTAGAGTCTTCCGCATCTTGAGGAACTTTACGCGGCCATTCGGGGCAAATGTCGATTTCCTCTCGCGGGAACCACAGTTCCAAGAACAGGTATAGCAAGTAGTCAACAATGACACAGAGGCAAAAGAGCTTGCCAGCCCAGATACCACAGCCGTAGTATCGCTTGAGTCGGTCGATGAGGGCGAAAGACCGCACTCTACTATTGCCGAATGTCGAGGAATTGGCAGCGTCATAGCCATAGAATTCGGCTTCGCTGAGCTCGCCCGTGATTCCCTGGTACACGCGCTCGGTGCGTTCAGCAACATTTGTCCATGAGTACATCTTCTGGACTTGCTCATGGAAACGTTCCGTTCGAATCTTGTTTGCTCGTAGTGCAGCAATAGCCCTCCCCGTCGCAGCAACCAGGTCGTCTTCTTCTGGCTTGGCGAAGACAGTCATGTGCGACGGGAGGACCTCAGGAATACCACCAACCTGAGTGCATACCACGTACAGCCCGCAACTGGCTGCTTCTACAATCACAGTACCAAAGGCTTCCGTCAAACTAGGATGGAGGTAAATATGGCCCCGAACCATGACGTCGCGTACTTCTTCATGCCTGATAGGTCCCAGCATTTCTACCCGATCTTGTAAGACGTTTTGTTCAATCATTTGTTCGAGGTCAATGGCCTTGGGTCCTGAGCCTGCAATGATGAACCTCGTGTTCGGGTGGTTCTCGAGGATGCGAGGGATCGCAGCCGTTAGGAGATCCGTTCCCTTGTTATAGAAGAGACGAGATATCACGACGATTGTGACTACATCGTTCGGTCCCAGGTGATGTGCGGGAGGTGGATTCTGGCCAAATGCATTATTGGCGTCGGTTGGGGGATAATCGAGTGGACGGAAGTTCTCAGACACGACGGCGTTAGGTATGACTGAAACCATGAGGGGATCTAGAGATGCTCGGAGAACGGTATTTTCCTTGCTATAATTCCAGTCAGTTATGCCTGTCCGAGGGCTAGGGCGCGGCGCGACGTACCAGGTATGGCTGACACAAATAACGTGGTCCACGTCACTCAGGGAAAACTTGAGAATCTTGTTTGTCAAGATACTGCTAGCATCGGCGAATCCAAAAAGCGAATGGTCCGTAAAGACGGTCCGGAGACCCATGGTCCTCGCATGCAGAATAGCTTCATGGCAAAAGGTGCTCAAACTCGCATGGCCGTGGACGATTTCGATCTGTTCTCGGATGAGGATATTGCGAATGATGGGAAAGGCTGA